GTCGTGGTGTTATAGCGTTCTGACACGGATGCACTGGAGGCGTGCCGCTGATGTAATACACAAAATATCCACTGCAATTCCTTACTTGGATGTTGATGGACCAATTACAACATCCTCCTGACCAATGAAAACAGACCTGCCTTGTGACTATACCCTCGCTCACCGTAGGATGGGCCCCGTTTAACCAGCCAGTGGCATGAGTTCCACAGCGGCTGGTTGGAACACATGTGGTAGCCATTTTATTTCCAGCTGCTCCCTGGAAACGAAACCAATTTGGACCGAGTGAACTGTCGCATAAAATAACTCCAGTGTACGTTTCTTTCCTGTTAGCATCGGTAAGGCTTGCAGCATTTTGGCATTCTGAGAAAGAAAACAGACAAAACAGTTACACTAACGCTACCTAATTATCGTTTGGGCTCGTTTTTCCCTTTCCTTTCCTTTTTTAGCAGTCTTGTATTCTTATTGACTTTTCTTTAAATACTCTTTAGGTATTTAACTTAATTTATTAATTTATTAATTAACGTCTCCTACCCCTAACCCTGCAGGAGACGGGGCCTACAGTCTATTCGTCTTTATCCGAGAAGACAAGAATATCCATCCTTTTCTTGATATCATAGAGAGGTAGAAACTCTCCTCAGTTATTTTAAGACCCTGAGTATTGGTCAGGCCGGGGCTTGAACCCTCGGTCTCCCGCACAACAGTCCGACGCTCTACCAATTGAGCTAACCAGGACGCGGTATTTCCATTTAAGTGGTATCTCTTCTCATTACTTGTAAGAAAAAAAAAAGCAACTGACCAGCCGACTGTATGTAGCAACTTGTCCTTCCGTCCCCTACATAACCATGGTTACAAGAACAGTTGTAAGATCCAATAGTGTTTGTGCAAGTAGCTGTTCCACCGAGACAACTGTGAACGCCAACTGCGCATTCATCAATATCTGTGAAATATAAAATAGTTACTTGAGTGTTTATACTGTACATTTCACGAACCATTTTTCTCTAAGTTAAGACTTTTTATCATCTCCTTTGTGCAAAACAAAGGGACAAAGATCAAACTGGTTTTAAAATGTCTGATCGGCAGATAAACTTTTCTCTGTAAAGGATAAAAACGAATTTCCTTGGGAATTGATGTAAAATATTTATTTGCTTGAAGAGAAAAATCTGTAGGAACATGGAAGATTTAATAGGTCGAATCTCCCTCTTTGTATGTTCGCCTAAATTTTAAAAACATTCAATCATTTTTTGCCATTTCTATGGTACCAGCAATCTATATGGATAAAAAAACTGTTCTTTCACATGACAGATAAGTCAAATTAGTTTCCAGCTTTCTTTAAATATATATGCCCCTTGGGATCACGCATAAGCCAAAATTCCTGGGAGGTAAAAATTATTACCCTCTTGAATAGAGTTCAAAACTACCCTTATAGGAGATATAGCATGGGTTTGTTACAGTACTTGATTATCAACTTTATATTTCAAGATTGCATGATGCCCCTATAAAATGATATGCAAAAGAGAAACCAGATAATGAAACTCATATACGTGAAGAACTGATTCGAAAATTATAGCAAAAGAGATGGAAATAGGCACATTTGAGGAAGATATCAGCCCTGTCAATAGTCATCCTCGGATTGAACACTATGGCCTGGAGGGGAAGTCGACAGAGAGAGTGGTGGTACATTAAAGAAAGCAGAAAGGTAGATGAAGATCGAGAGAAGGACATTAAGTCAACTTACACGAGGGGCACTGCCTCTAAAATCAGCGGTGCTCTGTAGCAGGTAAGCCTCGTCTGTGTGCCACACACAAAAATGAAATTAAGTTCAAAAGTAATCTGTACGTATTGTCCTTACCAACACATTTTTTTCCACTTTTAGTGAAGCCAGAATAACAGGAACAGTGATATGAACCGTTGGTGTTTGTGCAGTTTGCATTAGAGCCACAAATATGCACGTCAGCGCTGCACTCGTCAACATCTGATGAGGCAATTTGCAAATACATTACAGGTATGCAGACTTTCCATGTTGTATTGGGCAGTTAAGAGAGTACTCTCTCACTATGAACCATTTTTATATTTATATACAAGGAGCGTCTCTGAGACTTCGAGACAGATGCAAAAGTAATGGCAGCATTTTTTTTTTTTCAATAGCTCATGCAACAGAGATGCCTTAAAGGAGAAGTTTCTGTTGATAGCAGTGTAACTCGACAACATTGTATAATAGCATATAGCGATGTAAAGACATCCTCAGTATTTACCTCTCAGACCTCCAAGTAAATTACAATTACACAACTGATTGAACTTAGAAGTTCTCTGAGAGCCTTATCGAACTTCGCCGTAAACACCTACGTTGAAAAGCCTTATCTTCTTCCCAAACTTCAGTTCGCGCTCAGCTAAACTGTCCCATAAAAATTAATAATTAATACGTAGCATTAATATTTCAGAAGTCCCTATATATTTCTAAAAGTCACGCGCAGCCGAATATCTGAACAGAGAGATTTAGCACCGATTTAGCATGCCCTTTCACGTTCCACGTAAAATAGCGTGAGCCTTGCTGCTATAGCCTCGCGTAACTTCACGTTATGGTGGATTTGAAGGCGCCCTGGACTTACAATGAATAGTTTTTGTAGCCTTTTTACGGAAATGAACTTCCACTCTGTGAGAGAATAAGGAGAAAAACCTTACGTACACAGCATACGTGAAAAACTGGCGGGAAAAACAAGGTCACGTGGTCACTGCTAAATCTCTCTCATAGAAAATGTACCAACGTGGCGCTCTTCAAAAGTAAATCTATGCGCGGGTAAGACAATAGACACGACACTTGACATGATAAAATTATAATTTTTTTTTAGGTGTTGTGTCCTGCTCAACTTGCCTTCTGTCTCCATATCACACTGAGCAAGAACGGATTTTCCAGATACAATAGAATTAAACCAATATTTGCCACTGATTGCGTGACCTTCACTGAA